GACCTCAACCGGGCTTGTATTGCTGAAAAGCTAGGTGGATCCCTAATTGTAGCTTTTGAAGGATGCCCCGTGTAGACCATCATCTGGTGCCACAAATCGAAAGCTTCCGTGTTTAATGTTATCCTCTTGCTATGTATAAGTAAAGCAGACAATGTTTAGGCTAGGGACTCACTGAAGGGGAGCTGTCTTGTCATTTGTGGGGGTAAACTATTCTATGAACATGTGCAAATGGCCCTAAATAAATCTACACTCTAAAACTTTATTGGTGTGAAATTAACTTCTTACTGGCCAAATGCCTGTTTGGATGAGTTGGTTTGTTATAAACATTTTTGTTAAAGCTCATGATTTTTAATATTTAATAGTGCAGTTCACAAACCAGTAGAAGGCCGCATGAAGAGAATTACTGCATCTTTGTTAACCTCAGCAATTATTTACTTTCTTTTTTGCTTAGAGATTTGGTCATAATCTGGTGGTAATTTTGGCCCAAATTTCTTTGTTCTGTTGAGCTAAACTGAATAATGGAAAATAGTTCTACTCACAACATGTAACAGCACTAAAGTACTAACTTGGTAATTCTACTGGATGTGTGGTGGAGACTGCCTTGAAAGGTGTAGGCTTCGAACCAGTGCTGACCTTGCAGAGCACTGTCACAGCCCAAAGTTCGCAGAGGAAGCTGCTTGCACACCTAGGGCCGCGTACTCACAGGTCTGGTCAGGAGGCTGTTCTGAGAGTAGCCTTTCACCCTGGAAATCAGGAGAATGTGCACTGTCTTATAACAGCGAATTGTAAAGCAGATCTGGGCTCTAGCTTAACCCACTTTGTTAATGAAAACGGTGAGGGAGGTGTATTGACAGACTGCGACTCTTTAACTAATTGTGTCTCCTTCAGAACTTTGTTGCTTCTAGTATAATGAAGTATGAAAGAATGTTACTTTTACTCTAGGGCCTGGGAGAACATCTTCCTCTCCTAGAGTAGCTTGCAACTGTACATGCAGTGGGGAGAAGGTATGATGGGCAACACGGGAAGCCACGCTGAGCACCCCTGGAAGTGACTGTCCTTCACATCACAGGCATAACACTGAACAACCTAGAGATGCACAAACAGTGGAATTTTAGAAGTAGCAGTACTGGCTTTATGTAATAAAGGAAGCATTTTTAACTTCTCTCCTGTGTAATTATTCATGCGTGACTTGGGAATAAAGGATTTTGCCTTCCACATGTATGGTTATGTGTGGAGGTTTGGCTATTTCAGACAATTACAGTTAAGATCACAGCTCCCTCCTCTGATTGAATGAAAAGGTTGGTATATATTTGGAAGTTGTTCTCTTATTCCAAATGTTTATCTAAATGCCAGGCTATTATCTCCTCTCTCGTTTGGGAGCCAAAAAAGGTTATGCTTTGATCAAAATACTTCTTTCCAGATTATCTAGAAAATGGTGCTGGCTACTGGTTACATACAGGCTGCTTGTCATTCTTTCATCCTGAATTTCTCTACTGCAAAGCAGTGTTCTCAGTGACTGTATTGACAGATGCCTGAGCAGCACTGCAGGCCCCAGATGGCTCTGGTGAAGAATCAGCCTTGTAGGCAGAGCCAGTAGGTTCAGGAGGAGACAGTCTTCTCTGTGGTTTCACCTGTGACATGTGGAGCTCCTTGTATGAGCACCTGCCTCTCTGCAGGTATGTATGTGGGGTGCTATGGGCAAGGTTTTGAGCAGTGCCCGGGGGGTGTGACATGTAAATAGCTCCCGACACTCAGCTCCAGAAATTGGGAAATGCTAATGGTCACTTATCTGCCAGGGAGCTTCTGGATTCCTGAGGTTGGGGCCCTAGACTCTCCCTCACCAGCACTACAGGTAACTCTGTTGCAAAATGAGCATCTTAGACCTCAGCTGACCCTGGTGAGGAATAAAACTGCAGGAATTCTCTGCTTCCAGCACAGTTACACTTCTACAGGTGTTCACACATTGCAGAAGAGTGGGTGGATAGCTGACTCAGGGTTCATTGAATGACTGCTCTTCTGCCCCGAGGAAGCAGCAGCAGATACCACCAGTGCTAACAGACATTTAGTGCTGGGCTATGAAGTTATTCCGAGAATATTAATCTCAGAGAAAACCATGTGACTCAGTGGAAACACGGTGACTCAGGTGGAAAGATGGGGCTTGGTCAAGTGGGTTCCTTTCCTAGAGTCCCTCACCGCTCAAGAGTACGGCGGGTCCATGCGCACATGTGTGGCTTCTGCTCTTTACCAGCTTGTCCTTGAGCTCTCAGAGCCTGGATGCACCTGAGGACAGACATGTTGATTTGTCATGACTTGGGATATTTTCAAAACGTGGAAGCCATCTCCAGACCAAGTTCCAGCTGGGCTGGGGCTGGAAGAAGGGTCACTACATGGGTGGGGAGGGGCATTGGAAGGGGACTTACTGAGCCAGTGCCTCAGCCAGTCCAGAGAGGTAAAGTAACTTGTCCAAGGCCACGCAGCACTCGGGTCTCTCTTTTTCTTCTTCCCCTAATCTATTCTCATCACACCCCTGATGAGTTATTTATTTGTAAAATCTGGAATTCCGAGTTAGATTTTGTTCCGTTTGAGGCGGGAAGGAAAACAACTCTTCTTTTGGGCTCTGTTTGAGTCCCGTTAGGCATTTGTGGAGAGTGTCTGGTGGCTTCACTGCCCGAAAGCCAGGCATCCCAGGGGTTGTGCATCTTATTGACCCCCCACACAGGTGACCAGAGGTAGTCCAAAAAGCTGTATTGGGGCTTCCAGATCTAGAGGGGCTGCTAATGGGCTGCGAGACCCTGAACTTCAGGTCAACCCCGGGAGCCTCTGAACTTGGATGTTTTCAGAGCTCCCAGCTCTCCTGTCACCTGGGGTCTGAGGTAGGTGGCTGCCTCTCCAAGCCGCCCCCCACACCCCCAGGCCCCATCTTCCTGAGCCTGAGGGTGGACCTGGCCCCTGGACAGCAAGGCCCGCAGGCTCCCCCTGCTGGCCGGGAGCTGTCACTGCCAGGCCTCTGGCTGCTGGGCCAGTGGTTGGCAGGTGTGGAGGCCCTCACCTGCCCATCCCCAGACGTGGATGCCAGAGCCCTCCAGGTGGTCTGAGGGTGGAGCCCACAGGCAGTAGCTCAGCACCCCCAGGGTCTTTCGAGCCTTCCTTCCCCAGAGGTGACCCCGTTCCTTTGCCTTCAAGGGGCTTCTGCCCAGCCTAAGTTTAGTCACTCAGTCATGTCCAGCTCTTTCCACAGACTGTATGTAGCCTGCCAGGCTCCTCTGTCCGTGGGATTCTCCAGGCAAGAATACTGAAGTGGGTTGCCATTCCCTTCTCCAGGGGATTTTCCCGATCCAGGGATCAAACCCAAGTCTCCCGTTGCAGGCAGAATCTTTACCATCTGAGCCACCAGGGGAGCCCTGCCTAAGGGTTCCCAGCTTTTTAGTCGCGTGGTGGGGGAGGGGGAGGGGAGCTTAGTGGAAACGCAGACTCTAGCCGCCACCGTGATGCAGGAGACGTGGTTCAGGGCACAAGGCCGGCTGTTCACCAGAAAATGACCCTGAACCACTGCCCTCGGGTGAAGGTTCCTGTGTGTGAATGAGTCGTGAGCCCTGCCCCGAGTTGGGGGCTCACAAGGGTGTGGGGTGAGGGGCTGCTGATCACGGCTTCCACAGTCACAAGCCTCCCTTCCAGCCAAGGCAAGGCCCCAGCCAGAAGCCCTCCCTGCCTTTCACCAGGTGGGCCACTCCCACTTCCTGGGGATTCTTTGCAGCATGGGGGAGGTGCCTTCCACGGGCACTTGAGATGTCACATGAGAACCGAGCCTGTGGCCTGACAGACATCATCAGTCACTTCTTCCCGCTGAGGCTTCTGGCCAGAACCCATGGCCTCTGTCCCCTGGCCCTTGGGTTTCCTTTCTCCACTTAAGCCGCCTGCAGGGGTCTGGAACAGGTAGGTCTCATCTCCCCTCCTGGGAAACCTCAGTGGCTCCGATGCCCCGCCCGTCCAGACCCCTTACCTTCATGACCCAGCTCTACGGGGCCCTCTCACCCACCCTCCTGGCCCCTCATCCCGTTTCTCTGCACCCCTGTACCCTTGGCCCTGACCCCTCCTACTTCCCAGCAAATTCCAGGTCCTGCTCTTGTCTCTGGGGAACCATCACAGAATTTCCAGCATCATGATCCTAACACAGTCACCACACGTAAGTGCCACTTAGCAGTTAGGTGGCGCACAGACCAAGTCCCCCTGCAAACCAGCACCCGGTTTTGGTCATGCAGCCTGAGGTCAGCACTGCCCAGCCCCTGGCCACTACTTGTGTATGCGGCCAAAGGCAGCTAGAGGAACCTTCCCTCCCCGAGGTCTTGAGGTGCTGGTGACAACCACCCCGGAGGGGAGTCAAACCCAGCCTGCAGGTATGGGATGCCGAGGCTCTCAGGCAGGGATGAGACACCCCTCCCTCCCATCTGGGTGCACCTGCTGTCCAGGTGCTTGTCTTCCCCCAGTCACACTCAGCCCATCAGACCCCTCTCCTAGGCTTCAGAGTCTTAGGACTGAGCTGGAAGTACCACCAAGACCCCTGGGGGATGCTTCAGTTCACCTTCTGTTCCTGGGTTGATGTGACCACTCCCGTGACCCTGCCTCTAAATCCACTTTTGGTTTAAGCTCCAGATTCCTTACGAAGCCCCCAACTCACCTCTTGACCAAAGACTTAGATCCCCGAAAACATGAGGGTCTGAGGACCATAGCAAGTTAAGCTGGCTGCTCTGTCTCCACCCCTCCTGAGCAGTGGATGTTTGCCCAAGTCCAGCCAGAAGGACAGAGTCCCTTGTTCATCCCTGGAACTCACTTCACACCATAGCCTGGGCCATCTGCAGCCCTGCTCCTCATGGTGTATCCATCAGGCCACCGGGTATCTCAGGCCCTGCTCGCTCACCCTGCCCAGCAGGCACTGGGGGACCAGAAACCACACTCATTTTCTCCCAGAAGGAGCCCCCAAGGAAGATGGGATGAGACCGGAGTGCCGGGCGACACGCGGGTTTTAATGGCATTAACACCCAGGAGTCACGCGTCGGTTCTGGGGGCAGCATCTTCCGGGGACTGGGGCTGCTGCCTGCCTCGCTGGCTGTGACTTTCCAGTCTGCTCCGCAGCGTTAGGGACTCAACACCAGAACCACCCGACCCCCAACCCCGCGAAAGACACAATTGCACTGATTGACATACAGACCCCGGGCCCGCCTCCCAGAACAAGCCCTGGGTCTGTCGCACGGCTGACGAGGGCTTTGGCGTCTGCTGGCTGGTGGTCCAGGGCCGGGCCAGGGCGATAGTGTTTCTCGAATGTGACAAAGGTTCTTCTTGTACAAACTGGGTCTGGAAGATCTACTTCTGGTGCTAAGAAACTCTTGTCTTTATGGCTTCTCAGAGCTACCGAAGTTGGGCCCGGATAACGCTGTGTCGGTTGGTTTATTTGTAAGGAATGTGTAAGGCATTTTGGTAAGTTGAACAGTAACTTCTTTTTCTGCAGGAGACTCAGACAGAAGTGCCTTCCTTTGAGCTGCCGTCCTCCTGTGGACAAGAGTGAAGAGGAGAGGCTGGCCTGGGGTGCGTACTCACCCCCGGCTCCTAACCCACCCTAACTGTGGCCTGCAGCCCAACACCAGAGCAGCCAGGGCTGAAGGAGACACCGAGGGCTTGGCAGGGGCCCGAGGGCAGCTTTCAGGAATCTCTGTTCTCACCCCTCCAGCCTGAGTCCACGTCTCCTCCTTGCTGGCCTTCCCCAGGGTCCTGGGCACCCCCACCCCCTGCCCCATGGGGTCGGCGCTCACTGGTCTGTCCAGCCGCTCCTGCAGCTTCTGCACCGTGTCCTTCTCCTTTGCCAGCTGCTCCTGGGTCGTCTTCAGAAGCTCTTGCAGCTTGGTGGCCGCACGTCCCAGGTCACCCGTTAACTTCTTCTCTTTCTCTAGCCTCTCCTGCGATCGGAGGGTTGAAGAGGATCAGCCCGCACATGACACGCAACAGGACGGCCCCCTGGCTGTGCCCGTGGGGCCACACCAGGCCCAGGAAGACACGGCCTCCTGGCCATGATCAGGAGGGTTTCTACAGGGCTGTTCGAAGCTGTAGCCCCTGGGGTCACATGCTGGCTGCTGAGCACTGGTCTTAAGTTCTACTTGATCCAGTTGTCTGTGATACTGGAGACTCAGGAATACTCCCCCACCTCACCCACCCCTAGACTGGACTGTGCTCAGAGGGCCTCCGGGGATGATGACCGGGAGCCCAGGGTGGTGGCGCCCCAGTACCTTCAGCTGCGTGGCCTCCTCCGCCTCCGAAGACCCAAAGGCACTGGTGCAACGGAGCTTCTCCAACTCCGCCTGCAGCTGACTTGCCGCCAGCTGAGCCTGGGGGGTGGGGGGTGGCGTCAGGAGCCATACAGAAGGAGAATGACAGGGCGTAGTGACAGTCCCCCAGGTGGGGTGTGGCTGGCCCAGCCCTGCCACCCTGACCCACAAGGGCCCTGACGGACAACTATCAGCTGAACAGCACCCTGACCTCCTCAAACTCGGCCGTGAGCTTCTGCCGCCGCGCCTGCTCATCCCCCAGCAGGGCTTCTGTCCGCTCCAGCTGCATCTTCAGCTGCGGGCAAAACATTTGGAATCTGGGGCAGGCGGGACCCTCCTGGGCACCCAGGGCCCCCCGACCCTGCCCTGCCACGGACACGCGGGATGGCCTGGGCCCTCCAGCTGGTCTCCCCTGGGGGAGATGGGGCCCAGCTGCTGGGGAAGGGAGCTGGGTGACGGGGGAGAGATGCTGATGGGATGTGGGGTCCTCTAGTGAGACCCCAGGACAGAGGAGCCTCAGCCCCGTGCGAGCCCTGGCCCAGGAGGCCATCCACCCTGAGGCCGCCACCACTGTAGTGAGGCTGTTGACAGCCGACTGGATCAGGGGTCCGGAGGGCAAGTGCCCCACCAGACACCCCAGCCCTCACCCTTCCTTCCACTCTGCGTCTCCTCAGAAGCGGGGTGTCTGGGCAGAGCGGGGCTGGGGTTCAGTGGGAGTCGGGGCTGCTGTCCCTGCCCTGCCCTGGGTGGAGGAGCCCGCGCAGTGTCAGTGACCAGCACCCAGCTCGCCCCCCTAACCTCGGCGGGGTCCTGCTCTGCTCGGGGGGCCTCGGCCGCGTCACCGTCCTCCACGTGGCTCTTCATCTCGCTCAGCTGCTGTCTGACCTGGAACAGGGAGGCTGGGTCTGTGCTGAGGCACGGCTGGATGCACGCAGCCCCCCAGGAGGACCGCGGGCACTCTCGGCAGCCACGGCCCCTCGGGGGACCTGCTCTGATGAGCATGGCCTGTGTGGGCTCCCCTGCAGGTTCTTGGGGGGCAGGAGGCCAGCACCGAGACCCCTCACCCAAGTCAAACTGCAGCTGAGGGACCCCCGAGGGGCCCAGACTGGCCTTGTGCACACACTCCACTCACTGCAAGGCCAGTGGCATGGAGCCCAGTGACTCCTGAGGGATGTGGTACATGCGGGACTGAGGGGCGCAAAGCAAGGGAGGGGACCTCCCGGGCCTGGGCCACACCGTGGTCCCAGCAGCCACAGGCCCAGGGTCGAGCAAACGTGCCAACAGCCGACCCACGTCCCCTCTGACTGGGTGTGGGAACATGCATACCCAGCCCCCACAGCGCAAGTGGTCACACCATGTCCACTCACCAGGGCGAGCTCGTCGCTTTGTTTCTGGGCTTCGCTTTTGGCCGCATCTAGCTGAGACTGAGATTCTAATAAGAGCTGCCTCAACTGAGAAAACGTAGCCAGGTGGTGGGAGAAAAGAAGAGAGGACCAGTTCTTGTGAGCACCTCTCAGGGAACCCAATACATGCAGGCACCCGCCCCGGGAACCTGCAGGGGAGGGCAGGGGGAGGCAGCATCTGGCAGCTTCTGCTCTTTTTAAGACTCAGGAAGCATGGCATTTGGGAAATGGCTTCTCCCAAGCCTTCATGAGTGTTTACGGAGTGTCTTTTACAAAGCACTCCGTGGGCTTCCCTGGTGGCTCAAAGGGTAAAGCGTCGGCCTGCAATGCAGGAGACCTGGGTTTGATCCCTGGGTCAGGAAGATTCCCTGGGGAAGGAAATGGCAACCCACTCCAGTACTCTTGCCTGGAAAATCCCATGGACAGAGAAGCCTGGTAGACTACAGTCCATGGGATTGCAAAGAGTCAGACACAACTGAGCAACTTCACTTTAGAAAGCGAGGGCAGATCACACCAGAATCGGGGTGCTAAGCTTGTCCTCTCTGCTGCCTGAACATGAAGCCCTGTCACGTTTAAATGCCTGTCCATGAGGATGGTGTCGCCAGCCAGGTGGAGGAATTCCCATGCTGCCAGGCTGGCCGCCCTCACCCCGCCCTGCCTGCAGGGCTGCCGGGAACGGGACTCACCCCCGCCACCTCCTGGGCGTAGTTCTGGCACTCCGCGCTGGCGGCCACCATGTGCTTCTCCAGCTCGGCCTCCAAGTGCCAGGTGTGCTCCCTCACCTGGACAGGATATGCGTCAGAGGCCACAAATGGATGGGATGAGATAGGGACGGCCACAGGGACCAAGGCTGGCAGGCCCGGGGACAGGGGCTGAGAGGCGGTCTCTGCAGCCCGATGGTTCCAAGAGGTGCCCGGGGCCAGACTCCTGAAGTGGCGCTGCATGCAGGCACCCCGGGATAGGACGAGCTTTCAGGCCTTGAGATTTACTTGCAAGGTGGGTGCTGGGGGAACTGCTCCAAGGTCAGGGTGCATGGACAAGCGTAGGGGGGCCATCCTGCACCCTCCTCCCAAGGTTCCTGAGGCCACGGCAGAAGCCACAGTACACCAGGCCGGGCATGCTGCCTCCGGCCACCCCGAGGTCGCAACCCCTCATTAAGGAAAAGCAGGGACACATGGACCAGAAAAGAAAACGACCACAGGAGCCTCCATAAGAGGATGGCACTCTCTGCCCAGAGCCCCCACGTACCTGGTCGGAACTTTCAAGTTCCCCTTTGAGCTTCTCGACAACCTCTTCGAGATGTTTCACGGTGACCCGCGACTACAAAGCATGAGAAAGGGGCCGTCAAGCACGAGCCCTGGCGGATCTGACCAGGGACACGCCGCCGCGGTTCCTCGCAGCTGTCCTGGGACCCACCCCAGGAAGCCCATGGTGCCCCTGCCCCCCGAAGAGTGACCAGCCCCTCTTTCTGGGGGTGGGGGTCTCCTGGAGACCAGGACTCAGCTGTTGAGTCTTTCTGTAACCACACTTCATGTGGCATCACCAAAACCTGACCTCCCCAAGTGACCCAGATAACCCTGTGGCCATCCCCCCGGGATTGATGGCATTCTGCCCTGGCAGCCTGGCTCGGGCAGGCGGACCCTGGGTGCCTCGGGCAACGTACCTCCCGGAGCTCCTCCTCCGCGGTGCTCACCCGGGCCTTCCACACCTGTTCCTCCTCCTCCACGCTCTTCTGCAGTGCCTTGAGCATGGCCTCCTGTGGAAGCAGCTGTGAGCATGGTCTGTGGACCCCACAAACACCCCCCGGCTCCCTCCCTACCCCAGCGGCCACCCTGTTCAGATCCCAGCCTGGCGGGCCATGCCGTGGGGAAGGGGTGGCCCTGGAGTGGGGGCCCTCAGCCAGTGTGCAGAAGACAAGGCCGTCGGGACTCTCATCTCTGATGGGTCTGTAGCAGAACAGGGTGGCCCCAAGGCAAGGGCTGGGTTCCTGGTGTCACAGGAGAACCAACCGCTCCCCTCCCGCCTCGGACTCGCTGCAGACCTTTGCCCTGAGCACCCCTCTTCGCCATTCAGTCACAGGAACAGTGCCCAGAGGGGAGCCGTGCCCACCCGAGGTCACAGAGACAGGGACCCGATCGGGCCCCCCAACCGCTGGGCATCCCTGCCGGGACTCACCGTCTCGGCCAGGATGCTGCGGTACTGGTCACACTCAGCCTGCAGGCCGCTCTGCGTCTCCTCTGCCTCTCTCAGCTTGGCAGCCAGGTCCTGAGGGTGGAGGCAGAACAGGGAGCGGGGGGTTGCTGGTGAGCCAAAGCCTGACGACTGGCTCCGGGCACCCCCAGGGGGACAGGGCAGAATGTGAGGCTGGACGGCTGTCCATGCTCACCGAGGGCTCCGGGCTCGTGTGCGGCCGCTTTGGCAGCTCCAGACAGGCATTCTCTTTTAGCTCCTGCAACCACTCGGCGTAACTCTGCAACAGAAATGTTTTGTGGTTGGACGGGATGCACCCCTCCATGGGCAGGGGACCCAGAGGAGCCACCGTGCCTCCTACCTGGTGGGTGGGGGTGGGGAGCCCCGGGAGCAGGGCCAGCAGGGCCTCCTTGGTCTGGGCCTCCGTCAGGCTGAGTTGCTTCTCCGACTCCTCCTGTGGGGGGTCCGGGTAGGGGGTGCAATGGTCAGCCCGGGCGCTCAGGGGGACCATTCAGACAAGACAGCAGGGCAGAAGAGCAACACGAACAAAATCCATGCAAACAGACCAAGCTTGGGGACCCCGTGGCCTCGGAGGGCCAGGCCCAGCTGAGAAGCAGCACACAGGGCTCACTGCTCCCCGCTTCTCCGGGGAAGAAGGGCAGAGGGCACAAGAAGAGGCAGGGCTGGGCCCCGGGTGGGCTTCGGAGCCGCTCTGAGCCTAGGGCTGCCCTGCATGCAGCTTCAAGCTCTGCTGACCAACTTGACTGAGGCCAGCCCGGAGCCCACTCTGACCTTGGCCTGGGTCAGGGACCGCAGCTTCTCCTCGCAGCTCTTCTCGGCCGAGGCCAGAGCCTCCATGGCCTTCCAGTTCTTCTCTCGGAGGTCCTGGGAGGAGAGGGGCATGGTCAACAGCCAGGCCAGTCTCTGCAGGGCAGGCGAACCTCCCTGACCCGCCTCCAGACCCCACAGGGCATGCTGGGCAGAACTGGCGCCAGACGGCTTGGGGTGACCTGGTGCCTTTTACGGAGACTCGTCTGTGGGGCTGGGGGTAGGGAGAGGAGGGCAGTTACTGGCTCCTCAGAGAAGAGCCTCCCACCACCAGGAGGCCAACTCTTGCCCAGCCAGGCCTCGGGAGGCGCAGGCAGAGGCTCTGGGAGATAGCCTGGGCTGGGGATGAGGCCTAGGCCCCTGCAGACGTGCCCTGTCCACACAGCAGGCGCCCCCCACCCTGCCCCGCACTCACATTGTTCTTCGCCTTCTGCTGCTCCACCGCCTCCCTGAGCTCCGTGGCCTCCTTCTCCAGGCACCACACCTGTGACTCCAGCTCCATGAGGCTGGGGACAGACAGCAGGTCACTGTCTGGCTCTGAAGGCATGCAGCCACCACAGGGCCTGTCTCAGGGCCCCTCCTTGTCCCAGGAGCCCAGGAGCACAAACGGGGCCTGGAACGGGGGTCAGGCCCCCCCCCCCCCCCCCCCCCGTCACAAGGCACAGGCTTCAGGGGAGCCTGAGCAACCGCCTAGGCCCCTTCCCTGAGAGCTGAGGGCCCAGAGGCCACCAGAGTCCCACTTGGGGACATAGCTGCTTGGACAGGAGAGGTCAGAGCAGCTGCCTGGCCAGTGCCGGTATAGGCCCTGGACCGTCGCTTTTTGGGGTGCTCTTTCTTCTGCTAAGGGCTTCCCTGATAGCTCAGTTGGTAAAGAATCCATCTGCAATTCAGGACACCCCAGTTCTATTCCTGGGTCGGAAGATCCCCTGGAGAAGGGAAAGGCTACCCACTCCAGTATTATGGCCTGAAGAATTTCATGGACTGTATAGGCCAAGATGACGCAAAGAGTTGTACACGACTGAAAGACTTCACTTCACTTCTGCTGCCTGGTCCCGTTCTGTCCCACAGCCCACGGCCCTGGCCCTTCCCTGCGGCCACAGCTGCCCTCGAGAGATGCAGCTGGGCCTCCTCGGCGGACACCAGGCAGCACCGCTGCCTGCAGTCCGTCAGGAACATTCCCCCTCTTGGCGGTGCCTGGCAGGCCCTGGCTCCCTGCCACAACCACCGTGCATCCAAAACCTGGCTCTGCTGGGAACCGAAGGTGCCCCCTCAGTGCTGCACCCGGGCTCTGAGACGTTGGCCCGAGAAGACCCCAGACACCAGGGGAGCTGGCAGGACAGCGGCCCCGCTTCCTCACGCTTCTGTCCAGACTCAAGGCCGTGTGGTTCTGTCCGCCCCTGTCACCCAGATAGCTCGGGGTGGACACCCTAGAATGTCTCTTGCTGTCCTGAGAAAGAGGCTGCAAAAGGACACTTTAACATGTCATCTTCTGAGTCTCGATTTAGAACAGGACAGGAAGCCACTAGCACTGACCTGAGCCAGGGCTGCTCTGGGGTCAGGAAGGAAGTCCCTCTAAGGACGCCCCCGGTGGGAACACGAGTTCTGATTTTCTCACCAGGGGCCATAGTGAACTGCTTTTTGAGGACCACCACCCTAAGGAAGTGTGTGAAGACTCAACACCCTTGGGGAGGGCTGTGTGCTGCCTGCCCTGACCCTCACCTTCATTCGAAGTACAGTTTGCACCCGGCCTTGAAGATGGCTGTTGTGGAGTTCTAAGATGCTAGTTTCAGGCCACAGAACCTGACCCCACCCTCAAAGCACCACTGGGACCCCTCACAGTTTCTCCATCAAGCCACTGGCGTTCTGCAGCAGCCAGCCCCCTGCAAATCCCTGCAAGAGCACCCCCAAGGAAGAAGACACAGTCGGCGGGTGACGAGAACACACTGACAGTCACCCCGTTTGGTGGCCACTGCCCGAGGTACGTTCCAGAATGTATGGGGTTGGATCACTCACCTCCAGCCCAGAATAGGATGGCCTGGCCTAGGCCTAGTCACAACTTCCAGATAAAAAGTCTGAGAAGAAAATTTCTAAAAACCCCTCATTCTGTCAAATATCCGCAGGATGCAAAATACTAGAATCGACCCTATTTGCAACATGATCTAGGTACCTAGAAATTAGCTATGTGGTCCAAGATTCTGATCCTAAAATACAAGAACAAAACGCTAAATAAACACAACCTCTCTACCCCCACAAATGCCGTGAGGAACAAAGCTGCCCTGAGCTGTCTGGAAAGGCGCACAGAGAAGGTTTGCTTCTGAGTCTCCAGTAAGGCGTCATGGGGCCTCTGAGAGGCCAGCTTCCTTCCCCAGCCTTCAGACCTGAGGTTGGGAATGCGGGCCGTGGCCTGGAGGCACTAGGGAGGTGACCCACCGGCAGTAGCAGCCAGAACAAGGGAGCCTGGTCAGCAGGCTGCCTGGTACAAGGCCGACTACCCACACAGGGATGGACAACATCGCCAGGCCTCACCCCACGTGGCCGCCCTGAGGACCCCTGGCCACAGCAGCCAGGACCACCCCGTGAGCCCGCAGGCACCTGTTGAGGGACACATACTCGGAGGTGACGGTCGTTCCAAGGGCTCCGGCCCCCTGGCCCGGGGTGCCCCCACCAGGTGTCAGTAGCCTGGGGCTGGCCGCTGAAGTCACCCAGCACCAGCCCTCACATCTGGTCAGCTGGGACCCTGCACCACAGCCAGAGCTGTGCCAAGGCCTGGGCAACCTCCCAGGTTCTCCACTCAGGGCACGTGACCCATTTTCTGTTTGAGTTATGACTTCAAGCCCTAAAATCCCTCCTCCTGTAGACATGGAGAGAAACCCCTGACCAGCCAGTCCTTCCCGTCCAGAGATGGATGGAAGGGTGGACGGACAGCAGGAGGCCCAGCCACTCCCCACAGCCTGGGTCCTGCCCTCTTTCCTGCTCCCCACAGGAACTGGAGGAAGGGTGGGGAAGACAAGGCTTCTCAGGGGTCCTTCCCGGGATCCCACACCCAGCTGGGCCCCTGCCCCCTCTTACCGGGCCTGCTGCTGGTCGGCCTCCACTCGACTGGCCTGGAACGAGAGAAGAGCCCCGTCGTCACCAGGAGACACACCTCGGACAGCAGGTCATCGGGCTGGGGGGGCCCATGGGTGGGTGGGATGGAGGGGCCCAGGGAGGGGGCTGCTGACCTGGGTGTCCCGGGCCTGGCTGGCCTCCAGCAGGGACTCGATGGAGCGGATCCTCTCCGTGAGCTGTGAGTTTTGCGCCCGGGCCTCGTCCAGCTGCCCGTGGAGACCACGAAGCTCCTCACACTTGCCCCTCACCTCGGCCTCGGAGGACTGCAGCTTGCTGTGCAGCTCTGCAGAAGGGGCAGCCGGCGGGTCAGGGGTGGGGGGTTGCCAATTGGATGTTCCCGGCTGCCCAGCACACACCTGTGGGCTCGAGACACACGCCCCACCCAGGGCCGCCTGCCAGCTGGTGGAGAGTCACCGCCAGGCTTCTGCACACCAGGGGACAACAAAGCGCCCCCACCACTTGGCAACGATGGGATTTGAACAGGCGTCTGCTACAGAGTCTAAACCCTGCTCCTGGGAGACCAGCTCATGTCGCTGAGACCAGGGCGGGGCTCCTGGCGTGCCCTCTCCCCTCGGCGACCTCCACAACATCCCACCACGGCTCTGAATGCTGGCCACATTCATCTGACACTGCACAGCCCCTGGCCCTGGGCTTGCCCCACACGCATGGGGCTCTGCTGAGGGCTTCCTCCTCCTCCCCACCCCTCACTCGTCTCTGAGGCCTGGGGATCCACGGCCACTGCTTGCCCAGTCTCCCGGGCATCTCTGTGGCTGCCTGGTCCAGCCCTGGTCCCCGGGCCGTCTGCCCCTTGGTCCTTTCCTGGGCCAGAGTCGGAGCATCTGGAAGGGCGAGTGGGGTCAGTCCCGCCACCCCCACACATGCTCCCAGCCCTCATCACTCCACGGGATGGTCACCCACGCCTGCCTGTCTGCCCCCACACTGGCCACTGCTGCCATCTCCAGCCTTGCGCACCGACCTCCTCAGCCTGTTTCTTGTACAGTAAAAGTCCAAGTCTGTCCCCATTCCTCAGGGGCTCCGTGCTGGTCACTTCCACCCTTTCCTGGTATTTGTGAGGCAGGCCTCTTCCGGTCATCCAGACCTGTCTCCCCAGAGGCCTCCCCTGACCACCTGAAGCCACACCGGGCCCATCACAGCAGGGGGCGGCAGACTAGAACCCTGAGCCAGCCCGGCCCAAAGCCTGTTTTTGTCAATAGAGCTTTCCTGGCCCACGGCCAAGCCTGTCTGTCCTGGGCTGTGTGGGCACTGTGGCAGCAGAGCTAAGCAGCCGTGACAAACACCATCTGGCCTACAAAGCCGAGATCACTACTGCCTGGCCCTTCACAGACGCAGCTGGCCGCTTCCAGGACCTGCTCCAGGTCACAGCGGCTACTTGGAAGTCTGGTGAGCACAAGGCTGTGCGACCTGGTCAATGGGCCGCCTGCCCTGCCTCTCCAGAGGCCTTTGGTGCCCTGGGCATCACCCCACCTCCTGAGGGGGCAGGTGCTCTGAGAGCACGGGGGACCACGGCCCATTTCCAGACCTGGCCCCAGGCCTTACTGAGCTGGAGGAAGGGGAAGGCCAGCAGCAGCCCTCGTGGCAGCGTCTTCCACCCGAGCCCACCTCCCATATCCAGTCCTCCAGACCCCAGGCCTGACCCCAAGCACCCCCATGTGTCCCCTGACAGGTGCAGGAGTCCGGGGTCCCAGGTACTCTTGCCACGCGGGGCCGGCCCTCCACCGCCCTCACCGGTCATCTGCTGCTGCTGCTCCCGGGCCTTCTCGGCGTCCGCCCGGAGGCTGGCGTGGCTGCTCTGTGTGCGGCACAGCTCCCGGCTGACCTCGTCCAGGCGCTTCTGCAGGGCCTCCTCGCTCTCCTTGTGAGACGCCTGGGGACCAGCCGAGGGAAGGGGGCCGTGAGGGTGTGGGCAGGAGGCTGGACTTTCTCGGCTCTGCCGTCCAGAGCTCTTCACTCCCTGCTGCCCCGCACCGATGAAGCAGAAAAGCTGCCTGGAATGTCTGGGTCAGTTCACCCCCTAGACAAGGCCAGGGGGCCATCCTGACCCCTGAAGAGTGGGCGCCCAGGGAAGACGCTGCAGGTGAGATCAACAGTCGCCCCATTTTCACCTGAGTGAGACCTGGGAATGGTCACAGCTGCTGAGCGTTTCTGGGCAAGGCGCCTGCTGAGCGTTTCTGGGCAAGGCGCTATCAAGGCGCCCATGGTCAGCGTGGTGAGCCCTGGCCACCCCAAGACACAGGTACCACCATCACACCCACGTTCCAGGTGGAAAATCCGGGGCCTCGGTCAAAACCGTGGGGACTCTGTATGACCGAGGATGGCATGACTGAGCGGGAGGAGATGCGCGGAGCCTGGGGCTTCCTGACGAGAATGACGGTGACAACTTGGTATCGGAGTGGTGGCTCCAGCCCTGGAAGCATCGGGACCACCTGAGGGCTTTCAGAGCACAAGCACCAGGCCCTCTCCAGGGGTCCTAGCCCCATCTCACTGCTCAGGCCAGACCCACTTTACACCAAATTATCCACCTCAATTCCACCCAAACAATCCCCCTGTTTATCTGTGTCTGTCCTAGGTCCCCTGCACACACAGCAGTCTCAAGAAACTTCTAGTCCTTTCCATGACACAGTCCAATGCGCTACAGCCAAGCTTCAGTGACTGAGCAGAAGCAGGAGCCAAGCCATGTGGGACTCCCCGAGAAGTCACACACACTCAAGGCGACAACTGCCCTGAGACAGGCCGGCTGGGGGACGTGGGGCTAGTTCGGCCAACGGGGAGCTTCCCGGTGCCCTGTGGGGGTTCCTCCCTCTGGGGAATGGGTGTCCCCCTGGGTAACTATGAGCTCCCAGGCCACACTCAGGGCTGAGAAGGAAGAAGCCCCACCAGGTGCTGAAGCCAGAGGCTGTGCAGGGACCCGTGATGACACAGGGTGGGTGACTGCCTGGGGGCTCGTGTCCTGGCTCCGAGTGAACCAGGGGGACTTGCTTAACTCTGTGCCTCCCGTTCCCTTCTGGGGAAATGGCACCTAATGCCAGTATCTACCCCATGCGGTTACAAGGAGAATTAGCTGGGAATTAACGCTTTGAGTGTTCAGAACAAATGCCGAGCATATAGATGGCACCCACTTGATGCTGACCAGGCATCACCAGTAACGAGACCAAGGCTGAGGGTTACAGTCCCAGACCTGCCTGGGTCTCCAGTGGCCACAGTCACAGCTGAGGACAGACGACCCTGGGTGGCCAGATGGGCCAGGCAGGGAGGTTTAGTGGGCAGGATGCACGGGCACGAGGGGGCCGCCGCCCCTCACCTGCAGCTGCAGGACCTGTTTCTCCACAGCGGCCGCCTTGGCCTCCAGGGCCTTGCGCTGCTGCTCTTCCTGCCGTGCGGCCTCCGACTTCTCCACCAGCTCCTTGCTGACCTTGCCCAGTTCCTGCCGGAGCTTGGCCAGCTCTGCGTTCTGCCTGCAAGACAGTCACCAGCCCCCGGAATGACAGACAGGAGAGGGCTGAGTCAGCTCCCATGAACCCTGAGAACTGCCTGGGGCGATGGGGACAGGTGGCCCTGAGCCTGTCCTCCGGGGCCCCGGCTCTTTCTTAAGTCATTGCCCGAGTCTTGGACCCCACCCAACTGAAGCCCTTCTGTATCATTAGCCACATGGGGTGTGATGTGTTTTGTTGAAAATGGTATTTCACGAGCAGCGTGGGTGGCTCAGTGAGAGTAAAGAGCAACACGGGCCTGAAAGCAGCCCATGGAGCCGACAGCAGTGGCTGATCTGGGCCCAGACGAACCCTGGGAGACAGGTAGACGGGCCTTGCCACCCTGAGGGCGGGGCCGCTGGCGGGCTCGAGTCCACAGACAGGACTCACTGGCCAGCGAGACCACAACCAGGCTGGGAGGCCACACAAAGCGGGAGGCAGTGGCATTTTACAGAAGAGACCCCTCAGTGCCACACAGACGCTGGGTCTCGGGACCAGGCAGGAAGTCCAGGGGGGCAGGAGAGCTGAGGGGGCAGGTCCAGCCGCACCTTTCCCAGTGCGAGGAGGTCGTCAGGCTGCCACCTCCTTCCCTGGCACAAGAGACACCTCTTCACAGCAGGACTGACTCTCCAGCTGAGCGACAGTACCAGACCAGGTGAAGTGGATAGACAAAACTGTCCCCCAGCCCTGGGAGGCAAAACCTGGCCAAGACCAGCTCTGCTCTGCTGCCCAGGGGGCGCAGACACGGCCCCCAGCCCCCGGGGCTGGGGTGGGAGGCCAGCTGGCGGGCCCTGGGGGACAAGTGCAGCTTGGGGCACATGCAGGGCTTACTTGCTCTCCACCTGGCTCGTGGCCTGGTTCAAGGCGTCCCTCAGGATGGAGTTCTCCTGCTGCAAGCGGGCCAGCTGTGCACTGGGGCCGTTCTCCAGCTGCTCCTGCAGTGTCCGGATCTAAAAAGGCATCCAAGGGGCATCAGAGCCTCGCAAGGACAGCCACTTTGGGGGCGAGGTCAGAAAGCTCCCAGCTCGCAGACAAAAGCCCCGAGCAGAGCACTCAGCCCAAAGCCCCAGGGGTGCTGGTTTGCTCAGCTGCTGACCAAGGTCCTGAGACATAGCACAGAGCCCACAGCCACCCGGAGGATGCCTGTTTCCTGCTCTCTGACCCCCTTGGCGCAGCCCCCGCCGCCCCGGGGGGGTAGAGGAGACAGTGCAAGGCTCCGAGTCCTCAGGCTAGAGCTGGCCAGGCCCTCCGCTGGGACCATGTGGATTTCAGGCCCCTTGTTTTGCTGGGTCCTCCCAACCTCCTGAGGAGTAGGCAAAGCCAGCAGGACTCCAGGGTGACGGAGAGGTTGTGAACTTGACCCACAGGCCCCCAGAGTAAGGGATAGTCATGTCCCAACGTGACCACTTGGAACCAGAGTGTTTTCAGAAAGTGCTCTTTAAATGCACGCACATCTCCCTGGTTATTGACATTAAACACACACACACCAGCCAACCAGACGGAACAGCCCCTTGCCGCCCCCCCCAATCCCGCAACAAATCGGGCCCTGAGGACCCGCCCCGCGGCTGTGCCCACCTTGCCCTGCAGCTGCTGCACCTCCTTCACATGCTCCCGGTAGCTGGCCTGCATGCGCGCCTGCACGGCTGTGATCTCCTGCTCCCGGGCCACCAGCTGTTTCTTCACTTTGGCCTCCCCGGCAGCTGCCTTGGCCTTTTCCGCTGCCAGCTCCTGGAGAAAGCAGAGGGCAGGGATACAGGAGTTCATCAGACGAAACCAAGAGCATCAGGTGAAACCACCCAGAGCATTTGATAAGCACCCCCCCCCCCCCACCCTGCTCTGGCTGTCTGTCCGTCCATCCCCCACCAAACACACCTTCCCCCCTGGCTTGGAGCCAAGACCCTAACTCAGGACAGAAACTCAGACTCCTCGTGAATGAAAGGATCCAGGGCTCAGGGCCAGGGGTGTCCTGAGGTCCCAGCTGTCTCCCTGCACCTGCTGCCCTGCAGAGAAGCTGGGCATGGAGATGAGGCGACAGCGACACACAGCGCTTTGCTGGGAAAGCACGGCTGTCACAAGACAAGGTGTGTCGCCAGCCCCTGGGGACCCAGGCTTCCTCCCCAGGAGAGAAGAGGGCAGCTGAGCTGTGACGGGAGTGGCCATGCACCAACCGCCCCTGGGCAAGACCGCCCCCTCCGCCCCGTGTCGGGGTGGCCCGGACCCCCAAGCCCGGAGTTCACAGGCACAGCCCAGGCTCCTGGAGTCCAGGGTCTTCACCGGCCCCAGACCCTGGCCCCACCTTGTTGAGCTCCCGCAGCTTGCTTTTGGCGACGGCCGCGTCCTCCTGCTCCGTGGCCAGCAGCTTCTCCTTCTCTTCCAGCTGGCGTTTCAGAATCACCACGGGGTCGCCTTTCTGAGTGGCCTGAAGAGGCCCACAGAGCCGCATTTAACAAGAGGTGGGCAGACGCGGGGTTTGAGCCCCAGTCCAGCCCTCAAACCCCGACCCACGAGCAGAGTCCTGGCTCGATGGTGTGGGAGTAGTTCCTTGCCGACTACACACACATGCAGGGGTGGGGGGAGGGCCTCCACCTCAGCTGCCCGGCCCGTCAGGCCTCAGGCCCACAGGTACAGAAGCTGCTTGAACCCAAAGCTCTGGACCCCGGGGGCAGTTGTGGGGAGCATGGTGTTTCCCTAACCCAGGTTGATGGTGGTCAGGGCCTCTCCCTGGCCTGCTGGGGGCCATTGGCCATTGTTCCCAGCTCAGTGCCCAGCCCTGAGCGGCTGTGTGGGGCCTGCTGAAGTGTGGAGGCTGGGCTGGGGGTTGGGGGAGGGTGTATTCTGGGTGTACGGCTTGAGGCCAGGTCTCTCTTGTGGAGGGGTGTGGTCAGCATGATCTCCAGCCACTCAAGCCCAGGAGACGGACAGAAGCTTACTGAGCAAAGAGCTCCTGTGACCCCAGGGCCCATCCCCCCTCAGCGGGGGCCAGGGCTAAAAGAACCCAGTGGCCTTGGGACAGGGGCCACCAGGCTGGCTCTCACGACACTCCCCAGACATCTCTCAACTCTGAAGCACTACAAAATCCTCTAGCAAAATTACCTATGATGCAGGCTCTGTGTAAGGAACAAACGTGCCCCACAGCACTTCCTGGGGGCAGCTTGTGGCCCCTGTACCAGAAGGGGAAAATCCAGACAGGCAAGCACCTTCCCTCCTGCCCCCAAGCCCTGGCCACAAACCGGCAGGCCAGCTCGTGCGCCCGCCTTGATGCCCCTCCTATAGTGGCGGCTGGACTGACTCACCCAGCATCCCAGGAAGGAGCAGCGAGGAGGCAGGTGGAGGGGTTTCAAGGACTTTTTGTGCAGCTGGGCATGTCCCAGGCAGGCTGAGGCCCTGGGACCAGGTGGGGTGTGGGGGTGGCCCCTGGCCAACTGCCCGCAGCCGCAGTGGCACCAAACGTGGGGGGGGCCCACCTTGTGCCACGTGTCCTGCACGATGCCCGCCTTGTCAGCCAGGATCTCCATGAGCCGCTGGGCCTCTCCCTCGCTGAGCACCATGCTTCCGACAGCAGAGACCAGCGTCTTGTAGGGCAGGTGCAGAGTGCCATTGGCATCTGGGGGCCCTGTGCATGGAGGGGAGGGCGGGCGTCACACACGGGTACAACAGCCAAACCCAGCATACCCCGGAGCAGGAGCTGGTTGGGGTCCTGCCCACAGACAGCACAGAGAAGGTCCCCAGTAGAGAAACACTGAGTGTCCCTGGGCTGGAGGAGATAACCCCTGACCTTTTTATCATCAGAGCAGATGTGGGCAAGGCACACTCTCCCCAGCTAACGGCCTGGTCCAGCTCTGGCTCGCACAGCCCAGAGAGACTCACATCCCTGCCAAGACCCAGCCCCATGGCCCTCGGGTCCAGATTGACCAGTGAGCTCATCAGCCCGACGGCTGCAGCCCCACACTGGGGAGGGGGAGGCCACCTCCCACGTATCCCGGTCCAGCCCTCTATTTGCAACTCCCTGGATGAAGAGTAAGGCAGGTTCCAGGAGAGATGGCTGGGCCAGCCTCATCCAGGCCTGGCCACTTGCTGGGCTGGGAGCACCTGACCTGCTAGAGGACACAGTGCCAGGTGTCAACAACCAGCTGTCACCCCTGGACACCCCCAACATCCCCACAAGAGCTCCGCTCTCTCGCAGGCCCTTATGCAGCCCCAAAGCAACAGGGGGTGAACAGGGACGTCCCTGTTTTCACGGCACGGCCCCAACCTGCCCTCGGTGGAAAATAGGGCCCCAAACGAGCCAAAACAAAGCAGAGAGGCTGCCCACAGCGGCACCTGCCGCCAAGCCCACCTCGCCAAGGATGAGCGAGGGGGAGGTTTCCATGGCAACATGAAATTCTCTGTCACAATATTTTCATCACACGTGAAAACACTTGGCGGGATGCCCTTGTAAAGGGGACGAGGGGGTGGGGATGTGTGGTTGCTATGAGCACCTTCACTCAGAACTTCTCGACCCTCAAAGCTCGGGAATGAAAAATAACCAGGCTAAGGTTCAGGCCTAGAGCTCAAGGTGTCATGAAAGCTGGGGGTGGAAGGTGGGGGGGAGGGGTAGCACCCTTCAGTCTTCAGTTCTCACTGAAATATATATATTAAATAATTTTAATGGAGAAACTTCTGCACCCAAGGGGCTTCCACTGTGGCTCAGCTGGTAAAGACTCCGCCTGCAATGTGGAGACCTGGGTTTGATCCCTGGGTTGGGAAGATCCCCTGGAGAAGGGAAAGGCTACCCACCCCAGTATTCTGCCTGGAGAATATAGTCCATGGACAATATAGTCCATGGGGTGGCAAAGAGTCGGACACGACTGAGCGCCCCTCACTCACTCTGCACCCAAGAGACAGCTCAAGGACAGCTAAGCCCAGAGAGAAGGAACCAGTCGGACAAAGACCCCACAGTCAGCGCTTTGGTCTCTGGGCTTCCTCTCTTCTAGTCAGCCAGAAGCCCAATGTTCCTGCCTGGGTTCTCCAGAAGAGGGCGCCCGCTGGGTCAGACCTGCCAGGACGGCCTGGCTGAGATCCACCACTCAGACCTCCTTCCTGCTCTCGGACTTAGGCAGGCAGGCCTGCCCCCGCGCTGCCCATATGCAACCACCAGCCTCGCGGGCCGCCAGGCACCTGCCAGGGAGGCTGGTGGTGGGAACAGGAGTGGCTCCCAGAGGGGCACACACCAGATTCTGAAAACCTGGTATGAAAAGAAAGAATGTCAAGGATCTGCAATAATTTTTCATACTAATTGCAAGCTGAAGTGATACAGCATTTGGGGTAAACTGGGTTACATGAAACACATCATTAAAGCGAATTCCATTTGTCTTTCGTTCGCCTTTCTTAACATGGCTCACAATGTGTTTCTACCGGACAGACTGGCTACTCTGTTCCAGCCCTTGGGGCCCCCAAGCACTGCCTGACCCAGAGTGCCTGTCCTCCCAGGCCCGGGAGTGGTCTGGGGAAGGGGACTCAGAAGCTGGACGATGCAGCTATGCGTCCATAGGGAACACCCCTCCCTTCACAGTGTCACCCCAGGGGTCGCACACGTGCGTCTCTTCTGGAAGGCCTGCTGCAAAGACCATTCCTCAGACTATGCTGGGAGAGTGTCGTCCTAATACACGTCTGTTAAAACCGTCTCACGTAATTACACTAAATTGTATTAGACTTCCTAATCAAAGTAATACAAAACTTGTAAAGCTATGAGTAATGAAGTTTACTTCCCCATACCCACCCTGACAGAAAATTTCATGGCCTTCTCCACACCTATATAAATACTTCAAAATTATTTTCAGAGACGTCACATTATATTTCTCCATTAAGGTTAAGGACGGTACCATCTCTAGTTTCCCCAAATCAGGGGAAGTAAAACTGAAAGAAAAGAACCGAGAAGCAGGAACCAGAACTCTGAGCCCTATGTGAGTGGCATTTATTTCTCGGTTTTAAGGTCTTCTGGCCAAACCCCCAGCCCTAAACTCAACCCCATAGAGGCCAGGGACAGGGTATGGGGGGGTGGGCAGTGGGTAGCACGCTGACCCACACATGAGGCTAACATTCCTCCAGCAAACGCTCCAAGGCTAGAAAGAATCCTTGGGGCTGGGAAATCTTAAGGCCCTGAGATAAATCTCTCGAAGACTCAACATCTGTTCTGTGAAGCCACAGGCCTCACCAAGACCATGTGGCCGTGAACTCCCCAAAGACAGGAGCAGCCAAGGCTTTGCGCACAATGGTGCGTCTGAAATTCCAGGTGTGGACTGGCCGGGAGGAAGCCAGTGGCAGGAGGGCAGGGTTGCCAGGCAGGGCCAGTGTCTCATGGAGTCAGTTCACGGCTGAAGCTATCTGATACGGGCCAGTTCCAGTCTGCAGGTCTGCAGGCAGTGGATACCCTATCAGAACAAGGGCCCTGGAGCCAGGTGCCCTGGGCTTGAATTCTGGCTCAACTCTTTGCCAGCTGGGCATCCGAGGGCAAGTGGCTTCACCTCTCTGTGCTGATTTCCTCATCTGTGAGGTGGGGTGACAATCACCCCTCCCCCAAACATGGCAGGTCAAATGGCAACGCACTGGACACAGGGCAAGCACTGCAGGGTCCATGAGCAGGGCCAGGCACACTCCAGACCTGGCCCCTCCCTAAGCAGACGGCACTCCAGCAAGGAACTTGTTGGTAGGGGATCCCCTTCCTCTGCCCCCCCCACGATCGCCACAGACAAGTCACGCCAAGCCAGCGCCAGGCACCCTCCGGGGGATAGAGCACCATGGCCTATGGAGCACCTGGGGGTCCTTGGGGCTCTGTTGATTCTGTGTCTGGCACCTCCTTCCTTCTGCCTGGGAGTCCCTCCCACTTGCATTTTGCAGACTGCAGGGTACATAGTCAGTGCACACTTGGTGTCGGGAGACCACCTAGGCAGGGTTTGGGGAACCTGCAGCAGCCTTGCCTTGCACACAAGGTCACAGGGGCAGCGCATTTAGAAAAGTGAGGAGCCTGTGTCTCCTCGGGCTCTCAGCCCCGAAGTACACAACGTTCGGATAACATGCGCAAGCTTCAAATTCCAGAACTGTACTCCCGTCTATGACTACACTTGGAGGCTTAATCACCCAACATCACGCCAGTCCTGCAAAGAGGGCGTAGGAGTCTCCCTCTCAGTGTCAGCTGGGGGGGGCCCCTCGGGGAGGAGCCCGAGAATGGTCTCAGCCAGTGGGTGCTGGGTGGGCTCTCCACGCTGCTTCGGTCCCTGGAAGCCCTGCCCTGCTCGTGCCCGGCTCAGCCTGTGACAGGGTAACGTCGGAGCTGCTCCAGGAACCGTGCTCCCGACAGACAGCCGGGATCCAGCCGGGGTTGTCACCAGGCCCCGGGACGGGAATCAGGAAGCTCCAGCTCCACGCCAGCCGCTGCTGCAGGTTCCCCAAACCCTGCCTAGGTGGTCTCCTGACACCAAGTGTGCACTGACTATGTACCCTGCAGTCTGCAAAATGCAAGTGGGAGGGACTCCCAGGCAGAAGGAAGGAGGTGCCAGACACAGAATCAACAGAGCCCCAAGGACCCCCAGGAAGCAGCCATGGCAGCAATGCTGGGAGGGCTTTTATCGCAGGAGATGCTCGTGCCAAACGCTCTGGGCAGAGAGCAGCAAGGGCTGGCGCTCCAGGAAGAGAGGGAGCAGCAAAGACAGGCACCAAGGCTGGCAGAGCAGAGGCAGGCAGGGCTACAGTGGGTCCCTGGTGTCACGGGCCCGGGGGATCCGGGTGTCACCTCGTGGGCAAGGCGGCATCACCTGGGAGTGAGCCGGGTCTGCACCTGAGGACACTGGGTGACCAGGCCAGCAGGGACGAATCCAGGCCAGGGGCTGAGCATGCTTGGGAAACTGGGCGGCGACAAAGACGCGGTGTCAACCCTGGGGCTCTGAGGTCGGGACATAGGTTGCAGTCTTGGGTGGGGGGAGGACATCCAGACCAGTCCCCAAGGCCTCTGCACAGCTGCCACCCCAACCGTGTGGGTGGGGGGCCACGCATGGTCCTCTGGACAGGAAGCCCTCCAGGACATCCCCAGTCACCTGAGCCATACCCAGGCCACAGGCCCAGGACCCCAGGAAGGGCTCCCTGCCCTCCCAGAAGCCAGCACTTCTCGAACAATCGTCAGACTCAGAGACAAGACAAGCTCCTGACTCTTGCTGACCCCAAGCACAGAGGGCTGACCCCAAGCACAGAGGGCGGCCCCCAAATCAAGAGTGGCCAGCAGGCCACCCGTCTCCAGAAATAGGAACCTGAGCCAGCACCACCACGGCCCCCACCACCCAGGAGCGCGGACAGTGGCCGTAAAGGATTCTCCTGAGCCTTCGGGAAAGGGGATCCCCCCCCAGGCCCTCAGTGAAAGAGCCCCCAGAGGCGGCAGAGGCGCAGCTGCAGCTCCGGCCACCCTCAGGGCTCCAGGTTGCGACTACAGCAGTGGAGGGCCCCGGGCAGCACAGAGATGGTCGATGGCAAGCCTGTCTCAGGCCGGAGCCCAGCACCGCCCAGGCCGTCTGCCCCCCAAGAGGGTGAGGGCCCTGGCAGTGCGCTGGCCCGGGCACCTGGCATCTCGAGGGCACCGGAGCAAAGCACCAGTGATGTTGAGAGCAATCCTACCGGGGCCTGAATCAGGCCTTCTCATCTGGTTGGAGACAAAAGTCATCTGTTGATAGACTGGGAGTTTGTCCATATAATGATGCCTCATGGAATTTTTTTAAAAAATACTACAAATTGAATGACTATTTTTCTCTTTATATACTTTTGCTCTCCCCACCCCAACTTAAATAAAATCCATTTTAAATCTAAAAAAAAAAACAACAAAAACACATCACAGTATTTCTTAAAGAAATACAACCCTGGAGGACCTGTGGGCGAGATCCTTCCTCAGGCCTGAGATAGCCATGAGATCTGACCGATGGCCGGCAGAAAAGACGGGGGACGGACAGACTTGGGCCCCTGTCCTGGCAGCGATGGGAGACCCGGTGCTGCCACGTGTGAGAGGGCTGACCAGAAGTGACCAGAAAGTTCTGGAAGAACGTCTTCCAGCACCTTCTCTAAGACGCGACAGTGCTGCACTGACGCGAGACTCGCTTCCCTGGGGGATGTTTTATTCTTTTAAAAAAGAAGAAAAGGAAAAGCTGCGTTTGAAGAACTTACACAGAAAGTGAATTAAATAAAGGCTTATGAGCCTAGTAGTTTGCTTCAGAGCTTCCGACCCTGAGAAACTGAGTTTAGTTTGAAAGAGAGAATCAAGCGTGGTCTTACCAGCCCCGCTGTCTCCTGGGGAGAGGGGCGTGCCCAGATGGCGACCCAGGCCCAGGGTGCCACCCCTCACCCCTTCTGGGAAATCTCAAAACAGAGCTGAACTCTAGTTTCTGCTGTCAGAGAATGGCAGAGATACAAGCCTACCTTAGAGAACACTGGGGGATAAACGCAGAGAAGGACGCCTGCCCTCACCCCGGGCTGGGGAGCAGCAGGACATTGGGGTGCAGTTCCGTCCAGTCACACAGCCTGAGACGAGGTCCTGCAGACTACACACCCCCGGAGTGATGCTCTCCTGGCCATGCTGGGTCACAGAACAGGACTCCACTCCTGTGTTTCCCGGGGTCTAGCAGCCGGAGGAGGCCTCTCCCAACACGGAGTTGACGGCCGCAGGATGCAGAAACCTTTCTCTCTCACCCGACCTCAGTGCCCACCATCAGCTGGGTGCCCAGAGGCAGGGACACACTGAGAAGGACTGGCCACCTTCCTTCCTTATCCCGTGCCCCCAAAGAAGCAGGAGGCCTCTCGCTGCACAGAGGCCACTCGGGGTCCTGGGGTCAGGGCTGGGCTGCCTCCTGGCGCCCAAAGGGGAGCGAGCTCCACTGTGGTTCAATGAGGGCCTGTTTCCTCAACTCACAGACAAATGTGGAGTTTTTCTCTTCCACTAACAAGAATACATGTTATAGAAAAACCAGGAAGTGCAGAAGGGTGAAGGGAAGAAAATAAAAGTCACCCACAGGCCTCCCCCCAAAGACAGCCTTTCTCCTACGTAGACCTGTGCACGTCTGACTCGGCTGTCGTGGGGCCTGAGGGCACCTCCATGTCCCAGAGGCTGGTGGGGCCCAGCTGGGATGGTCTCTGGCCCAGGGTTTAGGCCCAAGTCTGCAGGACGGATGGCATTTGGCATAAAGCCAGGGCACAGAGTCTAAGAGGAGGGCCCCCCAGTCACCCTCCTGCCCCCCTCCCCACCTCAGTGACACCACAAACCAAGCTCCCCGGCAGCATAAGTCCCAGGGCTTGGGCCCAACTTGGAAGGTGCCTCCCGTCCAGCCCAAGCCTGCATGTCCGGTTCAGGGCGCCTGGCCGGGGCCATGTTCACAAGGACTCAAGTCCAGGAGCTGGAGAGATGGCCCTGTCAAGAGGGCCCCAAACCACCCCCACAGCCATATGCCTCCTGGGCAAGAAGCTGCTTTCTTGACCAAGGCAGACACTGGCTGTGGTGACTCTCAAGACAGCAAACCAGGGGAAGCCTGAATGGTGCCGCCAACGCTCTGGAGCTTCAATTCCAGAGATTTCCACTTCGCAAGGATTCTGTGAATTCCCTCTTCTCCAGACACTGGGAAGAGAACCCAAGCTTCTGTTTCATAACCAAGTGTTTTCCTAGTCCACACCTGGGTTCCTAAAGGCCTCCAATGTCACCGCCATCTCCACACAGTCACGTGAGATGCTCACGTGGGTTCATCACTGAGGGGACCGTGCGCCGCGCCAGGCCTTCGGCAGGCAAGGTGGACGGGGCTGCCTCCCTAAGTTAAAAACGCACTTGCCTTTTGACAAAGCAGCCACACATCTAGGACCTGACGCCATGGAGACCCTCACCCAGTGGGACACGGACATCACTGCAGAAGTTAATTTCAGCAGCAACAGAAGGGCTCACCGCTTCAGAGCATTTAAATATATTGTTATGCTCAGGCCATGGACGACGACACAGTCTACTCAGGACCATCCTCCTTCCTGACCTGCTGGCCTCGGGCCAGCGCCCTGCTGTCATTACAACAGTTTGGGAAAGTGTTCACATATCAGACAGAGCTGGCCTTCCAACAGTCACTTAAAAATCTATTCAGTATTCTTACTTATTTTTCCCTCAAGAGGCAACTTTCAAGCCCATTGAAATTTTGGCAGGAAGAATAATAAACTACTAAGTTAACCAGGGAGTGACAATCATTCTATCATGTATAATCTTTCTTGTCCTGAACTGTGGTATTTTTTCCTGTTCAAATTTCCTCTTATCCTACACCTTAGGTGAGCGGCTTTGTGGGTTCACACAGGTCAGAAGTTAGGTCTTCCGCCCAACAACGCTTTTTGTTACCTGCCAATTTTGCCTTCCTTTCTAGAGTGAAGTTTTTGTTTCATACCTTATTTCAAATGTCTAAGGCCTTACAGGGTCATGACGATCCCAGGAAGCTCCGATGCGGGAGAAGCCAGAGAACAGACCAGCTCTCACCTGCACCCCTGCTGTCTGCCTCCAGGGCCTTTAGCCCCAGGTCAGATAGAGCATTGCCTTGAAGACAGGGAGGTATGCTCCCTCCACCCATGGGGCCAGGGCCGAGGCTGAGTATCTGGGTTTTTAAAGGGCCTGAGAGGTTGTTGTGACCCGCAGGGCAAACGTAGACTGGTCCCTGAACCTCACACAGAGCATAGTGTGGTCTGAGAGAATGTCCCCCCAGCAGAAAAGTGGATACAGCTTCAGAAAAAGACAAGAGAGGGGAGCCAGCTACAAACAGAGGGCCTGCCTACTTGGCAGAGGTCCCAACATTTCAGGCCCCTAAGATGCTTCACCAAGACAAATGCAATTAATCTTCCGAGTCGACTAATGGCTAATCTAAGAAAGAAAGAAATCTAGCAAGAGAAAAAAAGAGAAAGGGATGGAGGGAGAAAGGAAACATTGGACTACTCTATCAAGTGATGGGTGGACATGAAACAAGAACTCACAGGTCGAGTTTCTACAATGATCTGCGCTGAAAAGATAATGGGAAATCCATGTTCTATGCATTATCTAACAACATGTGTATCTGATACATAATATCTATTTTAATGTTCTATAATGCTCCCTTCCACAACTGGGGTGGGAGGCAGCAAAGAGGGAAACCTGGGAGGCAGGGGGTGTGGACACCACTGCTTCTTAGGAATAGCATCCTGCTGTTATTCACTCAGCAAACATCGAGAAAACAACAAAGCTATGCTAAAGCACCAGGGGAGGCAAGAATGCAGAACTGGTTGACAGAATGTGACCAGACTTCAAGAGAGACTGCAAGACACAGAACTGTTCTCGACTGTGTGGTGGAGGGAGTTGTCACTTCTTCTGAACCTTTCCCCACTGGACTTCCTCTTGTTGACTCACACTCAGTCTCACAACTTGCTCTGGGCAAGAGGACCCTGGTTTGAGAAGTGCCTTTTAACAGCTCTGCCGCAACCATGAGAAGGTCCTCTGCCCTCGAGAGTCACTGATGCTTTGGCCTGGGCCCCAGAATGAACACGTGGAAGTTGACCCAAGAGTCAACCTGTGGCAGGAGCCAAACTAGTTAGAGGTAACACAGACCAGTCAACCTCCACCCAAATCAACAGCAACATGAGCAAGAATGAATGATTGACGCTGCAGGACCCTCAGTTCTAGGATGTTTGTTATGCAGCCTTGTTGTGGCGATAGCTGACTGATACAGATGGCTTCCCCAAAGGGACTCTACAAGCCACTTAGAGACAGCTTGTCTCTCCACATTCATAAAGAAACCAAAGCTACTTACCAGGCTCACCCTTCTTCTTTGACCCAGACTTCTTCTTTGCAGGAGCCTCTTGCTTTGGTGCTTCCTGGCTCTGGACCATGTCTGCATTTTTGCCCTGGGTAGGAGTTGACTCTGCCTTTTTACCCTGATTGGTAGATGCATCCACCTTCTTGCCCTGGTTGGGGGACCCTTCTGACTTTTTGCCTTGGTTTGAGGTTCCCTCTGCCTTTTTCCCTTGATTGGGGGTCCCATCTGCTTTTCTCCCCTGGTTTGCAACACCTTCCACCTTTGTGCCCTGATTAGCAACTGAATCTGCCTTTTTGCCCTGATTCTGGCCTGCCTCCGCTTTTCTGCCCTGGTTGGGGGTCCCCTCTGCCTTCTTGCCCTGATTCTGGGCCCCCTCTACCTTCCTGCCCTGATTCTGGGCCCCCTCTGCCTTCCTGCCCTGGTTGGGGGTCCCGTCTGCTTTTTTACTCTGGTTTTGAACCACTTCTACCATTTTGCCCTGGTCCAGGGTACTCTGCTCTTTTCTGCCCTGATTCTGGTTCCCCTCTGCCTTTTTGCCCTGGTTCTGGGCCCCCTCTGATTTCTTCCCTTGGTTCTGGGCCCCCTCTGCCTTCTTTCCCTGGTTCTGGGCCCCCTCTGCCTTCTTGCCTTGGTTCTGGGCCCCCTCTGATTTCTTCCCTTGGTTCTGGGCCCCCTCTGCCTTCTTGCCCTGGTTCTGGGCCCCCTCTGCCTTCTTGCCTTGGTTCTGGGCCCCCTCTGCCTTCTTGCCTTGGTTCTGGGCCCCCTCTGCCTTCTTGCCTTGGTTCTGGGCCCCCTCTGCCTTCTTGCCCTGGTTCTGGGCCCCCTCTGCTTTCTTGCCCTGTGTAGAGCTGGCAGCAGGGGCACTGCCTTTGGCGCCCACTGGGGACACCACCACCATAGGCACCTCCTTGGGAGCAGCTTCCAAGATGGCAGCCTTTGAGGCAAGAACCTGGATGGAATTCACTACAGAGCTGACTGCTGGTTCCACCTTTGCCACTTTTTTCTCCTTCTTCTTTTTGTCCTTCGGGGAAGAAGCCAGCTTCTCTTGGGGCATGGCTGGTACTGTGGCTACCGGGGCAGTGACCACCGGGGACTGGACTGGGGTTGGAGCCACTGCCACTGCAGGTGCCCACACTGGGTCCCTGGGGAGGATGGTCACGCCAGGGCTGGGCTCATGGTCAGGTATCTTCCCGTTGGGCTTCTCCTCCTTTTTCTTGGTCTTTCCTTTCTTCTCCACTGTCTTCTCCTTCTTCTTCTTCTCCACTTTCTGGTGGTTGGTCTTCGCCATTTCCTTGCGCTGGTTGGCCAGAGCTTCTTCATATGACGTCTCCTTCATGGAGAAGGTTGACACCAGGAAGATGCCGATGGCGGAAACAACCATGAATCCACCAAAGACCACAACCCCCAAGGTCTGAGTGTCGTAAATATCCATCCTGGCTGGTTTTCCTTTCACCTGCCAAATACATACACGGCAATTACTTTCTGTAGAAACCGAGGCATTTGACAGTCACCGTCCCCACTTGCAACATCTAACATATATGGTTCCACTAATCCTTCAGACTGATAAAATCAAAGAAGAAACAAACCAGGCAATCTCTGCTGTCACCTATTCTCCCTGCCCCCTCAGAAGTGAGCAACTTTTACACAAGCTGGGACACATGAAGCCACGGAGAGATGGCAGCAGGCAGCTCCATGACAAGGGCACGTGGCGCCCAGACAACTCAGAAGCCGTGACCCCAGGTCGAGATGTTCCCCACCACAAGGTCAAAGATGCACGTGAACATAAGCATGGGCCAGTGTGAGACAGCTGGGAGTGGTAAGGACTGTGTCAAAGTGCCAACTACATCAGGAGCAGAAGTCACCCAGTCACAGGTGACAACTGTAGAAACGTGAGCACTAGGTTGAGGTATCTTTTGCTTTCTCATATCAGGACAGATTTCCACCACCACCCCCCACCCCAATTCAAGTTGACTGATATTAAGAATACCGTGTGTGTCAAATCAAACACAGCTGCTGGCTCGCACTCACAGTGTCCCGGCCAGTGGGTCTCACGAGCACTCTTTCTCTGCTGCCCCCTCTTCCCCACGGCTGATAAACACAAGTACCCGCCCAGGGGCAGAGATGAGAACCTATGCATTACAATCCCAAAGGTGATCAACATGTAGTGAGGAAAAGTGGAGCCTGTGAATCCACGCATTAGGAAACAGGAAATATCAGTCCTGGGAGGCTGACCAAGTAAGACCTCAGGTCTGAATTCCACATGCAGAGGCTGCAAAGAGGGAGGGGGACAGCGTCACCAGGTCCACTCCTCACCCTGGGGAGAGGACCCTTTGTCTGACGACACACTCCCAACCACGAGGATGATCCACCCTTCTCGCTGGCCGGGGACGGAAGTCCACAGGGTTGGAGGTGGCCAGGTCCACACCCAACAGCTGTCAGCCGGGCTACCCCTGACTTCAGTGAGGAACTCCCAAGGGTCCATTTCTTGGATACACTCAATGTTTACCAACTAATTTTGCTGCGGCTATCATAGCTCCAGTCCCCTGACCTGGGGAATGAGAACAGAGCCCAGCTCCCACAGGAGGACCAGCAGTGGAGTAGCTATGGGAACGCATGTGTGAGAGGCTGGGGGAGGGCAGGGGGAAAGGAGGAGAGCCAAGTGGTCCCCCAAGCCCCTGGAGCTGGGATAGGCCAGGCCCAGGCTTCTCAGTGGCTTAAAAGTTGAGATTTCTCTTCCTGCATGAGTGGGGGCTTTTAAACAGCCATGGAATCCAAATTTTGACATTAGGGGGTTTGAGAGGAGGGACTGAACTCAGCATCCTACTCTAAGGAAAATCAGTCTCGTCGCAGGAAAAAACACGACTTTGCTGTCTTTCTACGAAACCCCTGCAGAAGGAGGGTGGACTGTGCCCTGCTCTCCAGGGCAGCACCTTCCTTGGTGGTAGCTGGACACTTACTTCTCCCAGACTGTTGCTGGGGGCTGCAGCTCTGTGTCAAACTCCACATCCTGGTCCGCAAGCCCGAGGGAGCTCATGGAGCCTCCAGGTCTTGGGGCAGCGAGTTCTGACCCCTGGTCGTGGGTCCCACACACACAGAGGTCAGGAGCCTTCGGGACCACACTTGCAGCTGAGTGCAAAAAGCCTGGAGGGAGGGGTCCAGGAGGCTGGAAGGCAGGGACAAGAAGCTGGAACGTTCCACCATCCCCTTCTAACCCCTGCTGCTCGGTGGGTGTCCACAACTGAAACACTGGGTCCTCACAAGGACCCCTCAGCACTCTGCCGACATGGACACATTTCAGGTACAAGGTGACAGCATAATCATGACATCCATCCTATTCAGGTGACAAAAATCCTCTGACCTACTGTGCAGCACAGGGAACTCTACTCAATATCCAGGAAAAGAACCTGAGAAAGAGTGGATACAAAAACCCTCTGCAACGCCCTTCTCCAGAGGCAGCACCAGGCCAGGGGTCTGGGTCACCCAGCTGCAGGTCTGCAAGCCCCGGGTCCCCAATGTGCCTTGGAGGGCAGGTCCCATGGAGGCCCTGGGCCACCAGCCCCCAGGACAGGCATTGCCCTGCCCCATCTCAGATCCTCCCACCCCCACCCCCCGACTTCATCCCCTTTCGAGCACCATGGACTCTGCAGCTGAGTGGTTTGGGCAGAAAACCCACAGATGAAAAGCTGATCTTGGCTCTCAAATTAGGCAAACACAAGATACAAGATATTCTCTGTCGGGGGAAGAGTGGAGAGAAGCCAGCTATGAGAGCGTTTCCCTCTGCACGCGCAGACGGACCTCTGAGGCCATCACTTCCGATGCCTCCAAATACACTCAAGGTCAGTCTTCAAGGTGAGCCTGCCAGGTGCTCCACACACAGTCAAAGGACCCTGGCAGGAACCTCCAACATGGTTTTCCACAGGACTGCGCTGTGTGCCACTGCATCCTGAGTGGACTGACCACAGAGAATCTGCACTGTCGATCCCAGAAACTTCTACGAAATGTACACATTTATTTACAACAGCCGATCTGCTTAGAGTGTGAAGCAGGCCAGCCAGCACAGGGAGCAGACGGCCGCCCCGAGGCTCAGGGACTGCTCCCAGGCTCCGTGGCTGAAACCCCAGGCCCACCTTGGAGGTGCAGAGGGCATGGCTTTCTTCTGCTCCTGGGAGTAAGGACTGCGGAACAGAGGTTGTGTGGACACCCCAAGCATGGGCTACTGTTGCTGATTCACTCGGCCTGACCAGGCTAGTGCAGCTTGGCCAGGTCAGTCCAAACTGGCAACAGGGATTCGGGTTGGTTTTGCAAAAGGCCTCTCAACAGCACTCCTGGGGCTGGGTCATGTCACCTCCCAGCTGTGCTGTGGGGGACCATGTGTGGGCACTCCGAGAAGCTACAGCCGGGGATGGGGAGGTGGGTGTCAAAGAGACCCAGCCCCATTTCCTGGGTGTAAGGTGACTTACCAGGAAGGCACAAAACTAAAAGAGAATGACAACAGAATAGAGACGTTAGCAGATATGACTGCATCATCAAGTACTTCAAATATACAGAAGATGAAGAAAAATATTCTGAATGTCCATTTATCCACCACCCAGGTTTAGCAAATCCAAACATTTCCCCCATTTACTTTAGATAAATGTTCAGTGTCTCATCTTTCCTTCCACAGAGGACCAACACCCAATGTGCCACCATGCTCACCCACGGGTGCCACCGGACAAGCCCAGGACCACCCTGGCAAGGGTTGCACAAGACTCCTTCTAAAGGGCTGCCTTTTTCTTTGATTTATATATTTATGTGTCCTTTACATAGCTTGGATATTAACCATTTGTTGTTTTCAATGTATCTAAGTCTGTGGAGCTGACTCCTTGGGAAATACCCTGATACTAGGAAAGACTGAGGGCAAGAAGAGAAGGCGGTGACAGAGGATGAGAGGGTTGGATGGCATAACTGACTCAATGGACATGAGTTTGAGCAAACTCCAGGAGATGGTGAAGGACAGGTAAGACTGGTGTGCTGCAGTCCATGGAGTTGTGCAAAGAGTTGGACACAACTTAGCAACTGAACAAGTCTCTGGTTTCATTTTCAACTATCTTGTTTGTTTTTACAGTGTTTTCTTGTATTACAGCTATTCTCCCAGAGTCTGGGGCTGCCCAGGTGGCACTAGTAGTAAAGAACCCACCTGCCAATGCAGGAGATGTGACAGACTCAGGTTCGATTCCTGGGTCAGGAAGATCCCCTGGAGGAGGGCATGGCAACCCACTCCAGTATTCTTGCCTGGAGAATCCCATGGACAGGGGGGCCTGGTGGGCTGCAGTCCCTGGGGTCGCAAAGAGTTGGACATGACTGAAGCAACTTAGCACGCACACCACAGAGTCAAAGATAATCTGTTTCCTTTTTCTTTTAAGGAAAAAACTTTTGCTCTCCTTTCAATCTAAATAATCACTAAATAATCAGTCATGTAAAGAGGCAATGCACTTCTAGGGGTCAAAACTTGAAAGGCACAAAACGGCTGATACAGAGTGAAAACCTCCCTTATACCCCTGCCTTAGCCACCCAGGTCCCAGCCGCTGGGAGAGAAGTCCTTTACTGTTTATTTTCTTCTACACACTTCAGAAAGCTTTTTGTAGTTTGGTTTAATCACCTGGGATTTACTCTGGCATATGACAGGAAACAGTGTCAGCTTCTCTCACAGCTTACATTACCTGGCACCCCTTCTGAACTGGTCCACTCTCCTCCCCGACTTGCACAGTAGCCTCTGCGCCACCAGGTTTGATGGACTTATACTCTGTCCCACCTGCATATTCATCTGTGCCCGGCATCAATACCACATTTAGGCCCACGCATTCACTCCAAACCCCAATGCTACTGGGATTTTTGAAACAGACTAAATTTACAGATGAAGGTGGGGACAGCTGACTGTATACCATGGGAACTGTCACTGCAGTGTGGAGCACTCCACTTATTTAAATGTCCTTTTATGTTATATTTCCAAAGAGCTTTTATGATCTCTATAGAAAAGTCTTTTTTGTTGTTAAGGTTATTGCTATTTTTAAGTGTACAAGAAAAAGATACCTTTTTCTATTTCTAGCTACAGGCATCCAGCAAAGATTCATATTTGCACATGTGTTGTTTACCCAGATATTACACTAAACTTTCCTCAAATACAGGAGTTTGTGGATTCTCTTCAAGAAAAAAAAAAATCACCTATGAAAAAAGACAGCCGTTTCTTGCTTTCTAAGCTATATCATCGTGTCCCTGAGCTGGGCAAGAACTCTGAGCAGGCTTGCTGGTCTTGTCGCTGAGTTTCCACTTCTGATGTGTCACTATTAGAAGTTGTGTTGGTAGAAAACTTTTTATGAGTATCAGGTAAGCTGTCTTATATTCCTAGTTACCTTTCCTTTCTAATAACTGGGCATTAAGTTTGAGCAAGTGCTTTTTCTTTATCACTTGACATTTTCTCTAATCTGAAATGGGCTGAACTAAAATAACATACATTCTAGTGTTAACTCACAGATGGTTCTGAGTGTGTAGACACTTCTTGATGGTGGGTCTTTTCCTTCTTAATCCCTCACTAGATTTGGTCTGTTGACATTTTTCTAGGGGATTCGGGGCTGTGAGCTCTCATATGAGGGGAAGCAGAATTGTCCTCAGACTGTGCTTCCACAGTCTTGGCAGCAAGGTTGCCTCAGTCCCATAAGTTGAGGATCACCCTTTTCCCTCTGTTCTTTGCAGATTCAGAAGAAATGGCCTGTAAAACCGTCAGTCGGGTTTTTCGTGATCTGTTCCTGGAGGGGGAGGAGTGGGTATAGAGCCACTTTTTTAAAAAATTGAAGTATAGATGCTGTATAAGATTATATAAGTTACAGACGTACAACATAGTGATTCACAATTTTTAAAGGTTTTTTAAGTATAAAATGCTCCGTCCATAGTTTAAAATACTGGTTATGCTCCCCATGTTGTACAATATACTCTTAGGGCTTGTTTTATTTCATTCTATTTTTGTAGCTTATTTTATACCTCTTAATCCCTTTGCCCTGTCCACCCCTCCCCCACACCCCCCACTGGTAAACACTAATTTATTTCCTATTATCTGTGAATCTGCTTCTTTTTTGTTATATTCACTAGTTTGCTGTATTTTTTTAGATTCCACATATAAGTGATATCATACAGTATTTTTCTTTCTCTATCTGACTTATCTCACTTCACACAATACCCTCTATGGCCAACACCCTCGAGATCCACCCATGTTGTTGCAAATGGCAAAATTTCATTCTTTTTTAATGGCTGAGTAGTATTCCATTAGTATTTCACTATATATATATTATATATACATCTGACATCTTCTTTATCCCTTCATCTGTCTATGGACATTTATGTTGTTTCCATGTCTTGACTATTATAAATAGTGTTGCTATGAACACTGGGGTGCATGTATCTTTTTGAACTAGTGCTTTTGTTTTCCTTCAGATACATACCCAGGAGCAGAACTTCTGGGTCATATGTTTGTTCTATTTTTAGTTTTTTGAGGAACCTCCATACTGTTCTTTTCCACAGCGGCTGCACCAATTGACATTCCCACCAACTGTGTATGAAGGTTCCCTTTGGTAGAGAGCTGACTTTAATTGCTATTTCAATTTCAGTGATGATTCCAGGAACCGTTTATGGGTTTGTGATTCAATCTACATAATAAATTTTCATCAGTCCTTCTTCTAACTTCCACTGGTTCATTCTGTTCTTTCTAACTGCTTTACATGAACATTTATTAACTTTCAGGCCTTTTTCTCTTTTTTCTTGTAGCAAATATTTAAGGTAATAAATTTTCCTGTAAAGTACTACTGTAGCTTTATCCTCCCAGCTACAATGCACTATTTTCATCAGTGCTCAGTTTGAAGTATCTTCCAGTTCCCAAAAGACCTCTGACTCACAAAGTGGCAGCGTCCTTAACATTCCTAACATATGAGGGCTTTGAATTACCATCAACAATCCTAATTCAACTGCACTGTCCATCAGAGGATCCATTCTGTGTGATACAGGTCAAAGCTTTTACATTTGTAACCATGATCCAGGAAGATAACTTGACCCAGGACACATACATGCACCCTCTTATATGCATAGTATGTATATGATCATGTAAATAATAAGACTTTCATGAAATAATAACTCAGTATTTGCATGTGTCATGCACTGGTATCTCCTAAGCATCAACATTTTTTTAAAGTTTTTCACAAAATTAAATCGACTTTGAGGGTTATGACACGCTGGGCCTTCAGTCTGACAAAGCACTGGCTTGGATTATGATGTTGGGGTGTTTTGTTAGACTGTGGTCAGCTTTTATGAACATGTACTATGGGAAAGATGCAGGCAGAAGGAGAAG